AAGTCAATTTTCAAAGCAAAAATACCTTTCCTTCCTTTCTTATTTTTATCCATTGAGTGGATGATTTTAGAAGCAATGATGAAATTTATGTCAATCCCCCTTCCGGGAAGAAAGCTGTTCTGATTAGGAGAAATGAAGGAATCTAGCTTTGATCTTATTCTGTTTACCATAATCTTTGAGAGGAATTTATAATACGAATTTACAAGACTAATGGGCCTAAAACTGGTGATTTTTGTAGGATTGTCTATTTTTGGGATTAGACAAATTATAGTTTTATTTATAGCTGGGGGAACTGAGTTATTCCAAAATATTGAAAAAAGGAAGGAAAGGCAGTCTTGTTGGACATCCTTCCAAAAATGGTGAAAGAAAATAGCATGAAAGCGATCCTCACCCAGTGCTTTCAATGCACCGACAGAGAACACTGCATCTTTTACTTCTGCCATAGAAGGAAGGAAGGCACAGGAGATGGTGTTTGTGGAGACCGGGGTGGTAGGAAGAGAGATAGGACTGGAAGAGAAGAGGGAGGTGAAGTGATCGTCAATATGATCATGAACTCTCATAGGATCAGAGATCACCTCATTTTTTAGAGAAAATATTCTGTTCTTTTTTTTTTCCCCGATGGTGGCTGACAGGTGAAAGAAATGTGTATTATGATCACCATGCATAAGCCAATCCAATCTTGAACGAGCCAGCTAATACATTTCTTCTTGTTCAAGGAGTGAATTGAGCTCTGTATCAAGGGAGCACTCCAAGTCAAAAAGGAAATTATTGGTTGGATCCCTTTCAAGTGCCTTTTGGGCCCTCACAATTCTGGCCCTTAATTTCTTAATTTTTTGGTAAACTGATCCAAAAACATTTTTAGCCCAATAAGTAGATTTAGAAACAAGATTATGGAGCTTTTGGGGTAAGAAGTCATTGGATTCAGTACAAAACGTTTTTAAAAACGGGTCGAAATCCGGGTCTACTAGCCACATTGGTTCAAATCTGAACAATTTTTGGCTCAGGTTTTCGATCCGTTTATCAAAGCCCAATAAATCCGGGTTATGGTCCGAACTTAATCTTGGTAGGTTTTGAACTACAGCATCCGGAAATAACCGGATCCAGGTATGGGTAGCCTAGAACCTATCAAGTCGCTCGAAAATCGGATTCTTTCGTCTTTTATTAAACCAAGTGTACTTATGACCCGTATACCCAAGGTCAATTAGGCCACATTTATCCATGGTTTCTTTGTAAATGTTCATTTGGTTAATTGGATGTTGATTCCCGCCCCATTTTTCGTGAGGAAAACAAATTTCATTAAAATCCCCACAGGCAACCCACGACAGTTTAATTGAATCTTTTAGCGTAAGTAGATCATGCCACATCTCTATTCTAGCTTTTGCACAAATACTAGCATAAATAGAAGAAAGAAAGAAAGGAGGTTTATCTTTCACCTGAATCACCGCGTGAATTGCGCGCGGTTCCTTTGAGACAACAAGGATATGGTTCACTCCCAAGTTCCAGAGCATGAGTATCCCCTAGAGAGTCCCACCGGATCCACCACTTCGAAGGAGTTGAAGGGGAGGTTTTCGACTATCTCTTCGACCCCCGATTTTTGGACTTTAGTTTCAGTGATGACAACAATTTCAGGGTTGTGATCTTGGATTAGTTGGCGGATGTTGCGCTTAAACCCCCTTCGCGCGATACCCCTAGCATTCCATAGTAGAATGACATTCCGCGATTCATGAATGGAAGTTTTGCCAGCTTCTTCTTGGACTCGTATGACGCATTGGTGTCGACTGTTATGTAGCGTCCCAAGTACTGGCTGTATTTTTCCATCATGTTCACCTTGACTGTTAGACCAAACATTTGATTGGTCTTCCCCTTTTCCGTTCCCCAAGCAGAGTGGAGCTGGAGCTGAGTGGGCTCGCGTACTAGGTGTAGCCATTTCACATTGTTTGTTCCGGCCATGGACTGCACCAACAGCCAGTCGCTTGTAATCGACATGGCTTTTCTTTCTTACGGAAGCTCGAGTTCTGGGTCCGACAATTGTTGAAGTTCCCAGGGCATCACCAAGCCTGAATAATTTGCCTGAAGTTGGGTGATCAACCAGTGCATTAGGATGCCCAATGGTCTGTTCATAAGCTTCACGTCCTCCAGAGATGGGACGTGTGCCGCACCAGGACCCTCTGGTCTACATGGTCCTCCATCTGGAAATCGGAGAAGAAAGGCGCAACCTTCTCCGGTTCGAGTAGGATCTGTCGAACTAGTCCTGGAGTTAGAGCATTCCAATCTCCCAACAGACCCTGAGCAAAGAAGGTTTGAAGATTGGAATTTGTTTGTCATTTTTGCAAAAGCTGCCTTAGAGAAGAAGAAAGAGCAAGAGAAAGAAATAAAGTTTAGGAAGCAATTACTATTGGTAGAAGAAATAGTGAAAATCTTTTAACAGAAAACCGTATAATATATACGTAGTAGTTAAATTTATATATCAATTTTGATTGATGAGGAAGACAAAGAGGATCAAGATGATTATGAGTACCAACCTGTTTGGAGACGCAGAACAAGGGCAAGATCGTATTACTCTACCACAGGTTATAACACCATCTTTAAGATCTATTAACTATACATAATTTTTAAGTACTACTCGTATGTACTATGTGATTAAAATAGCATGTTTCAGGTAAATAAAGGTTGAAGGTTTATCTGAAAGTTTTGATAGTGTTACATTAATATCGATTTGTATTTGCTATCTGCATGTTGTTAGTGTGATTGTTGAAGGGGGGAATGTTGAACTGTGGACTGTCTCTTAGAATCTCAGAAAAGATTTTAAAAGTTGTTATCTGCATGACTGTTTTGTTGGATCGCTGCTCTTGAATGATGTTTTTGTTGAACATTTTTAAAGATTGTCTATAGAGAAATAGATGTAGCAGAGGAGCAGTATATGCTCAAAACAAAGTTATTTTTTTTGCTTCTTTTGGTAGTGTTGGTGGCCATACATCTTTGACTTTTGAGTTCAATAATCTGAAATAAGGGTGAAAAATGCTCTCTTGTGCTAATGGTCACTGAATCAGATTTCATCGATCCAATTTGTGATCACGCTACTGATTTAGATGACTGATATAAAAGCAAATTCAATGAAATGGTTGATAAGCAATTCAATTGCACATTTTCATAAGAATGGACAAGCCGTCTTTTAAGGCATTATTTAGCAAAATGGTAGAGTAAAAACATGGGGAATTTCCTGTCAGTGTCATACTACTTGCAGAAGACCTGAAATTCATAATCAGACGAATTTGTATTTGGAATAGTATAGCAGCGAAGTCTATGTGCCTTAGAATGATGTTATGAGTTGGTCATACAATTTTTAAAATTTATCTTTGGTGGATGAATAATATTATGGAGATTGTATGGTATTATAATTAGTCATTTTAAGCTGATGTTGATGTAGTGTACAGCTCCATTTATCACATGCTAGAAATTAGATAAGCTATTACTATTACCTTGAATGAAGGCCTGATTCATACCTTCAAAAGATAATAGGCAGCAGATTTTATAAATATTGTTAATCTTTTCTAATTGATAAATTTATCAGCATGTTATATTGTTATTATGCATGCAGAAAAAACTTCGGCAGTCAGATTATGCTACATATCTAATAGGAAGGGTCCTAAGGAAAAGGCTACCAGATTTATGGAGGCTATGGAGAGGCAGAACAACATTCAGAGTGCGCCTATGTTTCAGACAACCTTAATTCCTTCACATGTTACTAAACGATCTAAACTGGTTTGTTTTCTTTTCTATACCCCTGAGTTCTTTTAAGTTCTAATGTAATTTTTTTAGTTTCACCTCTAGTTAACATGTTAATTTTACTATCTCAAAATTCCTAATCGTAGTTCAAATATGCACCATGACACCATCTGATCTTGTTTTTCATACCAGGAATCCGAACATTTGGCTATAAGCTGGTTAATTAGTGGAAACAATATTGAGATGAATTAAAAAATTGAATGGGAAAAAAATAAATAGCAATGCACATTAATCCTTGAATATTCACACAGATTTTCTATGCTATAGTTTATTATCCTAGCATTATTTGCTATAGATGAGCAAAAGAGCATATGGGCTAAGACACTCAAGCCGTGAAGCTGCAGGTTGGAAACCAAACCTGGGTTGTTGGATACAGATGGGCAGCTAATAGGCCTAGTAAATTTCATCGCTACTATATATCTTTATACAAACTGGATGAACTTTGTGTTTGATAATAATTTGGAGGTGCATGATTCATGTGTGTTCAAGCTGATTCAAAAAGGGAGTTTACCTGTCTTTAACGTCTACATATTTCGTGCCCGTTGACCCTTATGTTTTTTTATGATGAAACGTCTACATAACTTACATGTTTTAACAAGTGTCTTTAAGTATTGTGAGTCTTAGGTTTCGAGGAGGAAACTGAAGTATGTGATGATGTATCAGAGGAGGAACGAGCATATTGGAAGAAAAAGGAAACTTAATATTAAGCGAGAAGTTAAAATCAAGAAAGCAGGACATTAGTTCCCCGAGGGAACTAAAGAATGGAAGATTCAGAGTCGAAGATTTCTCAGAGAAAGCAAGGAGTTTAAAAGTTAATTGGTTATCTTTTTAGCTTCTTGTACTTATAAATTGTTAGATTTCGGGAAAACTCCTCAAATTGGAGTGTGTACCATTGATTCAAATATTAGAGGTTTACAAGAGTCGTAATCCTGTTTGATAAGGATACGAGATATAACAAAATATATACAAAGTTATCCTAATCTGCGACAAATATTATCGTAAATATAATATCTATCACACCCCCGCAGTCGTAGCGGGAGGAGGGCGTACGCTAAGACTGGACCTAAATTCCAGAAATAATTCTCGTGGTAGGCCTTTAGTGAAAATGTCGGCAAACTGATATCTAGAAGGAACATGTAGAACCTGAACTTGCCCAAACGCAACCTTTTATCGAACAAAATGAATATCCATCTCCACATGTTTGGGCGCTGGTGCTATACCGGGTTGCCAGAAAGGTAGATAGCACTGACATTATCACAATACACAATAGTAGCCTGCCGCAGAGGACAATGTAACTCAAGCAAAAGGTTGCGAAGCCAACACGCCTCGGAGACAACATTTGCTACGCCTCGATATTCTGCTTCTGCACTCGACTTAGATAAAGTATGTTGACGCTTAGTTGACCAAGATACGAGGTTGTCCCCAAGGAAACAACAGTAGCCCGAAGTGGAACGCCGGGTGTCGGGACAACCTCCCCAGTTAGCGTCAGTGTAAGTAATCAGTCGATGAGAAACAATAGGATATAAATGTAAACCGTGATCAATGGTACCCTGAACATAACGCAGAATGCGTTTCAATGCCTCATAATGAGGTTCCCGGGGATCATGCATAAAGAGACACACCTGTTGTACCGCATAGGAAATATCAGGCCTGGTGAAAGTGAGGTACTGAAGAGCACTTGCTAAACTGCGATACAATGTAGGATCCCGAAAAGGTGGCCCTGATCTGCACTAAGTTTGGACTTAGTGTCAACTGGAGTAGCGGCAGGTTTACAAGAGGCCATCCCTACGCGCTCTAAAATTTCCTATGCATACTTTTCCTGCGAAAGTAGCAAATAAGAAGGTTTTTGGGTTATTACAATGCCCAAAAAATAACTCAGAGGGCCCAAATCAGACATGGGAAACTCAGTTTTCAACTGAGAGATGATCCCTGTGCGCAACCTATCAGATGAGGTAGCTAAAATATCATCAACATATAAGAGTAAATATGCCATATCATCTCCCTGCCGGAAAGTAAATAGAGAGTTGTCACTTTTAGCAATGACAAAACCCAATTTAATGAGAAAATTTGCAAAGCGTTGGTACCAAGCTCTGGGAGCTTGTTTCAAACCATAAAGACCTTGCGGAGCCGACAGACATGAGAGGGATCCCTTCGATCAACAAAACCTGGAAGTTGATGCATCTAAACAGTTTCCTGCAGATCACCATGTAAAAAGACATTTTTGACATGTAACTGATGTATTGACCACTTTTTCGCCAGATCTAGACTTAGAACAGTGCGAATGTTGGCCGATTTAACTACCGGACTGAACGTCTCATCACAATCCACACCAATTTCCTACGACCTTCCATCACATACAAGACGAGCTTTGTGCCTTTTAAGGTCACCATTAGACTTGTATTTATGTTTAAATAGCCACATACAATTAACAAAATTCACCCCCGCAGGCCTAGTCACCAAATCCCAAGTCCCTGTTTTAATTAAAGCATTGTACTCATCATTCATCTCTGCATTCCAATTATGGTCATTTAAAGCTTGTATATATGATTTTGGAAGAGGTGATTTAAGATGAGGGGGAGCCGAATGTTGAACTGTGAGGTTACAATATTTTGGGTTAGGCTTAAAAATACCCCACTAACTACGGGTGACACGGGGAGAGGGTGGTGGTGGCCGAGTGGGCTGCAATGGGGGTAGGCCACGCATGGGTGGCGGTGAGTAAAGGGTGACAGGTGGGCCGTTTATTGTGGCAGGGGGGTGCGAGGAGATGGTTGGGCTGGTGAGGGAGGCCCGCAATGATGCTGCGGGGTGGGTTACAATGGAGGAAGTGAGGAAGTGGGCTGCACGGTGGGGGAGTGTGGTGTGTGGCCCACTGCAGCGTGTAAGGGCCCAGATTGGGGGGAAGTACGTGAGGTTGGGCCAGGGAAGTGTAAGGGTTGGGCTTGCTGATGTAGAGGATATGGGCTAGTGTTTGTGAGCTGATTTAGTAAATATGGATGGGTGAGCAAAGGAGATTAATCATCAAATCCAAGAAAATCATAATCTTTTAGCTTGTAGTGAGCTAAATTTTTGTATGGGAAGGTAGACTCATCAAACACTACATGTCAAGAAATAATAACTTTATTAGTGGAAAGATCAAGACACTTATATCCACGATGATTAGAAGGGTACCCTAAGAAAACACAAGGAGTAGATTTTGGAGCTAGCTTATGAGGAGCAATGGAGGACAAATTTGGGAAACAAAGACACCCAAAAACCCGAAGGTGATCATAAGATGGGTTAGTGCAAAAGAGAGCCTGAGCCGGGGCCAAGTTCTTTAAAGACTTGGTTGGAAAAATATTTAATAAGTATGTAGCGGTCTCTAAAGCATGTGCCCGAAATGTAGGGGGTAGAGAAGCATGAAAAAGTAAGGTGCACTTGACATTGTTTATAGTTCGAATCATACGTTCGGCTTTGCCATTTTGGGAAAATGTGTGAGGGCATGAGAATCTAAAAACCATACCGTTATCTAGACAAAATTGTTTAAAAGGGTCATTGTCGAATTCACGACCATGATCACTTTGAAAGGATTTTATGGGTCTTTCAAATTGAGTTAAAACATATTGTCGAAAAGATAGAAAATTGTGGTAGGCTTAAGATTTAGAAGCTAAAGGAATTGCCTAAACATAATGAGTAAAATAATCCAAAAGAACCAAATAATATTTGTGACCATTGCTACTACGAATAGGAGATGTCCACAAATCGGCATGAACAATATCAAAAGCACAATAAGTATTAGTATTTGAAAGATAGAAAGGTAGTCTAACATGTTACCCTAATTGACATGAATTGCAAAAATTGGAGTTTAGCTCCTTATTACAATTAATAAAATTATTGCTCCTAAGAAAGCTTAAAGAGGGTGCTCCCGGGTGTCCTAGACGGTCGTGCCAAGTGGTAGGGGCAACTGTGGTAAGAGATGTGGCAAAACAAGTGCTTGGATCGTTGGTGGTGATGGGAGAAAGATCTCCCGAACTATTGCATCTGGTGACTACCCTCCCCGTTCGAAGGTTCTTCACTGAAAAACCATTAGGGTCAAATTCAATAGAAACCGAATTATCAGAGGTAAATTTACGAACTGAAATAAGATTTTTAATAATTTGAGGGGTTAGTAAGACATCTCTAAGAGCAAGTTTGTTTGGGAATTTAGTATGACCATAACCAGTAATCGGAATGCGATGACCATTACCAACTAAAATATGATTATTAGTGCTTAATTTAAACAAGGGAAGAAGATTACCAGAATTGTGAGTCACATGGGTGGTAGCTCTCGAATCCATATACCATCCATTATCCGATGTAGAGAGACCCGGTGAGGAATAAGCACTAGCAAACTCCGTTGGTGACATGGGTGGACCGTACATAGGCTGCCCAATATAATATGCTTGCTGTTGTGGACCCTAAGAGGTGGGCCGCTGCTGAATTTGGCCCATGGTAGGGAATGGGGTTGGAGGAATGGCCCATTGAGGCCAAGCCATTTGCTGTCCTTGGGCCCAAGGCTGACCAGACGGCCCAGATGACTGTTGAGAAGATTGGTGTGGAGCGGATTGCTGTGGCTGCTGTCCGCCTTACCTTGGCCACCGCGGCCTTGTTCGCGGCCTTTCCCACGGGCACCCTTGGCCCCACCTCTGCCACGGCTGGCGTCGTTGGCATGACCACCTCGCAGGCGGCTATTGCTGCTGTGAGGTGTCTGCCGCTGCATTCGGCTGCTGTTGAGCCACGAAGGAAGATGGCAGATTAGGGGCATCATTGTTCCGCCGTGTTTCCTCCAAAAGAAGATGGTAACGAGCATTGTTGAAGGAGGGAAAGGGGTCCGTTTGGGCTATCATAGTGGCGACCGTGTCATAGTCGGTCTTATTGAGGCCGGCAACCATACGAAGTACCAAATTCTGGTCGGAAATCGGTTGGTCGACATTCGCAAGCTGGTCGGCGATACTCTTAAATTGCTGGCAGTATGCGGTTGCATTTGGGAAAGAATCAAGATGAATTGTATTCAATTGGGATTCAAGAAACACTGCTCTTGTGCTTTTATTATCCTGGAAGATTTCTTGGAGCCGATCCCATGTTTGCTGAGCCGAAGACTTTCTCTTTAAAAATTGTTTGAAGGAGATCAGAGGATATAGTGCCATAAATCCATTGTTTTACAATTGCATCCAAGCGGTTCCACAATGCGTCGGAGACGTCGGAAGGCCGAGGTGTTTTAGGATCGATGTGATCCAAAACATTATAAGCAACCATATGATTTTCAAAAAATTCCACCCAATTTGAGTATTGGACTTTTTCATAATCGAGTGTGAGGGGGATCGCGTTCTTGATATTGGTGACGGTGAGTGCCGGATGGAACTCGTGAGTCGGTGGAGGAGGTGGTGAATCGTCGTCCTTCGCCATGTCTATTGCAATGTAATAGTGAGGGGTGACTTAATGGAGAAGAAGAATAGGAGTCGAAATCTGATTGAAAAAGCAGAGAACAAAACAAGAAAAATAATGTGCGGAAAATCGTGAAGGCAAGGTCCCAATAAACAAAAAAACCAAAGAAATTAGAAAAATAAAATTAAGATCTAAAACCTAAGTTGTGATACCATGTTAGATTTCGGGAAAACTCTTCAGATTGGAGTGTGTACCATTGATTCAAATATATAGAGGTTTACAAGAGTCGTAATCCTGTTATGATAAGGATACGAGATATAACAAAATATATACAAAGTTATCCTAATCTGCGACAAATATTATCATAAATATAATATCTATCATAAATTATAAGGAGTTTAAAAGTTAATAGGTTATCTTTTTAGCTTCTTGTACGTATAAGTTATATTGACATAAGTAAGAGTAAAGTGGAATATTTATCTTATTAATTATATTTTCCTAAAATCCTATTGGATATTATTCAAGTAAATAATTATCTTTTATAAATATCTTTTATCTTATTTAGTTTTTATTTTTGAGAAAAAGATTTTTTATGAAAAATATTTTTACGTGGGTTTCAATCAGTCAAATTAGTTGAGAACATTAAGGAAGCAGTAAAAGAGTGAAAAAATCATTGGTTAGTTGCGTTCACTTGCAGCACAAGTATTTCACTTCTACGTCCTCCTCAAGTTGAGGAACATGGAGTAAGTGGAACAAACTAGATTAGTGGATGCATTTCTAACTCTATAAATGACGCTTTTTTCAGTTTGCAAAAACACACTTGAACATTTTAGCATATTTATTCTAACTTATTCCACTTGAGTCTAAAAGTGTCTTTGTGATTTATATTAGAGTTCAATTCTTTGAGTTGTAATTTGGGGTAAGAGTTTGAGCGAACTCTAGAGTGTTTATTGCTTTGAGTGAAGCAAGGAGAAAGAGAGAGTTTTTGAGCGTTCAACTGATTGAGGGATCGGTTGAAGGGGAACTCAAGTTTGTTGAGGAACTTGAGTTAGAGTCTTAGATTGTAATAGGTTTTTTTTTTTGTGTATTAGATTGTAATAGGTTGTTTGCCCTATTATAATTAAGAGTTAAGTTTTAAAATCCCTTGTGGTCGTGGTTTTTCTTCTTGATTAGGGCCAAGAAGTTTTCCACGTAAAATCTCTCTGCGCACTTTAAGTTTTTCACTTAGTTTCTTTATATATTCCGCAAAAGTTATCCTACTTCCCCTACAATACAATTCACCCCCCCTCTTGTATTGTTCGTTCGAGTCAACGGTGCCATTGATTAAGGTAAGTGAAAGATCGAATCACAATAGCAAGGAAAATCAAATTACAATAACATGTAATCTGTTGTTGTTAGATAGCAAAGCTTGTTTGAGTTTTTACTTCTGAATTAGATGATTTAGTTAGAATATTTTGGTGCTTAGAAGGTAGAACTTAGAAGTTGTCCTGGAAAAACAGTTGAGTAGGAATTGAGAAAAATCATTGATAAATGATTTTTATTAGACTAGCTTAGTTTAATATATAGCCTTGTACTTTGCTGAATGTATTGGTCCTGTTTGTGCACGTATGATACTTAAAGCAACGCCCCTGTTATGATTTTTTTTTTTTTTTTGACAGAATGATTTGATCTTAATATTTCTATTATTATATTGGGGTTTTATGTTTTGGAAGTTGTTTAGATTATATATTTATTTCATAATTATCATTCAAATGCTCTCATTTTACCGGAAAACATGTAGTTCGTCTTGGTAATTAGTGGATAGTGAGATACGGAGTATTATCTTTTATCACCGTTTAAAGGCTAATGAGTTTTTATATTTTAAATAAGAGGATAGTAGATAAAAAATGAGGCAATAGACTTAATGGATTAGAAAAATTAAGGAGATATATGCTATTTTATGAAAAGAAAGAGAAGTGTAGAAACTAATAATTGACTTTATAATTGCGCCCTCCAAAAAAGTTGATTTTATAAGAATAGTCCGTTAACTAAATATCATAAAATATTATTCCACTTAATTTTTGATGAGAAATTCAAAGTATACGTTTCCCATGTGAGAAATTCAAGTTATATATAACCAAAATGAACGTTACATTGCACGCAATAGCATAAACTTCAAACAAAAAGTGTCATTACCAACCTCATTGAGTGTGTCGTGCAATGCATGATATATCCATTTTATACATCTTTCTTTTCCATATGTTCATATGATACTCATATATATGACGAATAGTATATGCTTTTGAACATGCTATGATAAAAAATGAATTCATATATGACGAATAGTATATGCTTTTGAACTCACATGATCAATTTGTGTGACTATATATTAGTATGTACAACCTCAATTGCTCAAACACTTGCATAAATTATGCATAAATCTAAGTAGTTCCATTTTATACATTTTTTTTTTTTTCAATAAGCAAGTAAATTTGGCCATGGAAAAAAACAGAAAGATGAACTCTTCTCATCACATTGCAAAAACATGGAAAAAATTAAGTGGTGAAAACAATTGGGAAGGCCTCTTAGACCCCCTCGATATCGATCTTCGAAGATACATCATTCATTACGGAGAAATGTCTCAATCGACTTATGATACATTCAATAGCTCAAAGAAATCAAAATATGCTGGTAGTAGTTTTTTTTCCAAGAAAAATTTCTTCTCAAACGTTGGTCTAGCTAATGGAAATCGGTACAAGTATCGCGTTACAAGATTCTTGTATGCAACTTCAGGGATAGATTTGCCTGATGCCTTCATTTTTAAGTCATGGTCTAGGGAGGCATGGAGTAAAGAGTCCAATTTTATAGGGTATGTGGCGGTGGCGGAGGACGAGTCCGTGGAATTGTTAGGGAGGAGAGACATTGTTATTGCTTGGAGAGGGAGTATTCAGTCGTTGGAGTGGGTTAATAACTTGCAATTTCATCTAGTTCCAGTTTCCGATATTCTTGGAGACGATGATGTAGGTGATAAGGCTAAAGTACATGAAGGATGGTACTCAATTTATACATCGGATGATCCTAAATCCCCATTCAACAAAACTAGTGCTAGAAATCAGGTAAGATAAGTCCTTTGAACATCTTTTTTTGATGCATAATAGTAAGGATTTTTTGTGAGAAGGACTTTTTGTGAGAAACTACCTAATAGAACCTAAATTTTGTGAGAAACTATCTAATAGAACCCAAATTTTGTAAGAAACTACCTAATAAAAGGTAAAATATTATAAGATACTACATTTGATCGAATTTCCACTTTTGCTTAATTTTACAAAGTTGATCCATCATAAAACACATAAACACCGCCCCCAAAACCATCCTGAGGGTTGGTTTTCAAGGTACGTGGTAAGGTTATTTTCGGGGTGCTTGGAGGATATTCTGAGTTGGTGAGGGTAGATTAATTAGTGCATCAGGAAAGTGGTTTTTAGGGTTAGAGATGTTGGTTTAGGGGTTAAAAGGTGGTTTATGTGTGGTGGAGGCAATTTTGAGCAAATTGTGTTAGTTTTGGGAATGAAAAGAGTGGTTTCGAGAGTGTTTTGAGGTCGGCCAACAGTGAAAATCTGGTATGGGTGGTATTTTATAACATTTTACCTTTTCTTAGGTAGTTTTTACAACATTTTACCTTTATTCGGTAGTTTATAATAATTTTATTTTATTAGGTTATTTCTTATAAAATTTAGGTTTTATTTGATAGTTTTTGAAAAAAAGTCCTAATGTTTATAAAGTTTGCTCACTATTCATTTTACATTATTCACACATATTTTGTTGACTGCATGTCTTTTATAGTGATTGCATAAAGATAAGTATATATATAGTCATGTAAATTTTGCTTACTTATTATGTCATTATTCTTGGATGGATTTAATATAGGTTCTACTTGAGATTCGAAACCTAATGGAACAATACAAGAATGAAGAGGTTAGTATAACAATAACAGGCCATAGTATGGGAGCAGCACAAGCTACACTAAACGCGGCTGATATTGTTGTTAACAATCTTAACAAGCCTAAAAGCTCCCCTGGAAAATCATGCTTAGTAACAGCCATATTATTTGCTAGTCCTCGAGTTGGAGACGCCAATTTTTTAAAGTTCTTTTTAAAATATGACAACCTTAAGATCTTAAGGGTACGTAACAGCCTAGATGTCGTACCACACTACCCACCTATCGACTATGTCCATATCGGAGAGGAGTTGGTCATCGACACAACTAGGTCACCGTACTTGAAGTTCCCCGGAAATTTAGTTACTTGGCACAACTCGGAGATCTACTTGCACGGCGTTGCTGGATCTCAATGTGGTGAGAAAGCATTCGAATTGGTTGTAGATCGTGACATTTCGTTAGTAAATAAACATTGGGATAATTTAAAGGATGAGTTCCTCATCCCTGTTGGTTGGTGGATATTGAAGAATAGGGGCATGGTTCAACGGTCGGATGGATCTTGGGTATTGATGGATCGAGAGATGGATGATGATGAAGACTTTGACCTTTGAATGTAGCTTTTAGTTAACCTTCATCAATGTTGAAACCCCATTTGTTGCGCACATGTGAATTGTTCCACATTGGTTTTAAAGAAACAAAAAGCAGTTTATAAGCTATAGGACTTAGCTTCCGTTGATTTTAGTGAAGAATCTCCGTTGAACGGCACTCCTATTTGTTGGGGCTTTGGATCACCCAGGCCCATTTTGTTATTAATGGAACAAGTTTTTTTTTTTTTTTTTTTTTTTTTTTTTTTTTTTTTTTTTTTTGACAAAGGAGCAAGTTAGTTGGAAATTTGGATATGTATATTTGAAGATTGAAGAATTCATGAAAGTTTATTTATTGATATTTAAATTGGAAATTTTTTTTATATTATTCTATTTAACTATTGATTTTATTAATCATTTTAACTTTTAATTTTTTTTTATGAAATTGATGAATATCTTCTTTTTTTTTCTTCTTCTTAAGATATTTGTGTTGAACAGTATCTAATACACGACTTTAAACACTAATGTTTTCAATCATACTACAAAGATATATTGTCAATGCATGCATCAATAATATAATAATTAATGCACAACAATCAAACACATTACATGCATCAAACGCAAAAGAAGAAAACCAATTTTTTAGCCACTATTTCCGTGTAGCAAAAGTGAGTAGGCTTCATACCATATCATGGCAAATGTGCTTCACTAAACTCATGCCAATGATCCAGCTAGTTCATGATAAAAACATGCACAAATTATTAGTCTCAATTTTTTTTTTGAATTAAAGAAGTAACATTTCAATGGGATTGGATTACCTAACAAACCGTAAAGAATATCAATATTATGAATTATTATATGTTCACAAATTGAGTATTAGTACAAAAATTAAAATTAATTCAACATGATCTAGTTTATCTAGTATACTAATCCAACTAAAGATCACCTACACATAATCAAAATTGAATAACAAGATCATAATGACTTCAATTATTTTCTTAGGACTTGTCTTTACAATTTTCCTTCTCTTCTTTCGCAAGTCTAGGAAGGTCAAGCCTAGCAAAAATCTTCCTCCGGGTGAAACCGGCTGGCCGATTCTTGGTGAAACCTTAGATTATGTCCGACGCCCTGCTGAATTTATACGTGATCGGATGGTAAGACACTCTCATGATGTCTTCCAAACTTCATTGGCAGGGGAAAAAATCGCGGTATTTTGTGGTCCATTAGGTAACAAGTTCATATATTCAAATGAAGATAAATTTAAGCCTTGGTTACCTCACACCTTTGTGAAAGCTCTCTCTTTGAAATCAATTGATCGCGATATCCCATCACTTAAATTATTCGTTGAGCAATTACTTAACTTCCTTAAGCTCGAGTCCTTGCAACAATACGTTCATGTTATGGATTCAAAGACACGCGATCATGTAGAGATGTATTGGGTGCCTTACGACGAAGTAAAGGTTCAATTTTTATCTAAAGAGTTCACCTTTGAACTAATTTGTCTCTTGTCGTTTAACTTCCATGAGATAGATCAAGTGAAGGAATTAGCTGAACGTTTTAATACTTTGGTTAAAGGGCTTTTGTCCGTGCCTGTGAATTTGCCTGGTACGCAATACAATCGGGCTATGAAGGCGTCGAAAGCTGTCCGAGACAAGCTTATTGATTTAATTAGAAAGAAGAAATTGGCATTGTTAGAAAATGGTATGCACAATCGCGATCAAGAGATTCAAGACGACCTATTGACTCGAGTGCTAAGGGCTTCGGATAAAGAAGGCGTGGCTTTTGAAGACGACGAGTTAGCTGGTCTAATTCTTGGTGTCTTGTTTGCTGGATTGTATACTTCAAGCAGTGCAATCACATTTGTTATTAGTCACCTAGCCGAATATCCCCATGTTTATGCTAGAGTTTTACAAGGTACTTCCTCCGTTTCTTTTTAGTTGACACGTTTCTTTAGTCACGTTTGCTAATGCACAAATTCAATCAACAATATCTATAATTATCGATAAGAAAAAATTATATAAAGTTGATATTTTGAAAATACTACGTTGTGACGAAGCTAACAAGATCTTAATATACCATATTTTTCTTCACATATAAATCACAAATATGGTCAAAGGGAGTTGTATGAATACTGCTAAAGTCAAAACGTGTCAACTAAAAAAAACGGAAGTAGTATGGTGTTGCAATATCATTATACTCCCTTAGTTTTATTTTAGGTGGTGTTACAGTTTGATCATCAGAGAATTGAACATAACATTTTTTTTTTCTACTAACTATCATTTATTTCTGATTCCTAACCCTTTTTTTGGGTTGATTGTATGTAATTGTTTTATTTTGCTACATACATCTTCTATCACAAGAACAATTGGCGATTGCGAAATCAAAAAGGAAAGGGGAGCTATTAACTTGGAAGGATATTCAAAAAATGAAGTACACTTGGAATGTGGTATGTGAATCTATGAGACTGATACCACCGGCACCCGGAGGTTTTAGAGAGGCCATAACTGACCTCTCTTATGCCGGCTTCACAATTCCAAAGGGATGGAAGGTATGAAATTGAGTACAAGAAAGAAATTCATGAATTACATTAAAGCTAAGCTTTCCACAAATACACTTTCTCATCTCATTTTAAATTGACACATTTCTTTTATCATGTTTGATTTACCATTATATATATTCAACTATATATTTTTTTTAATTTCTTTCAAAAAAATAATATTTTTTTTTAATTGTTGATTGTCAAAGTCATAAAAAGTCATTTTGAAACATAGTCAAAATGTATCAGTTAAAGAAGTCAATTTTATGAAAGTGTCACGCCATGATGGTTCGATTGCATTAAGTAATGTACTTATACAAAACTAATAACCTAGCTAAGACATACCATAATATTACTAAACTATTTACGAAGAATCTAAAGAAATATTAATAAAATTATCAAAAATAATGATTTAAGTACATATTATATCAATATAATTCTTATAATTATTCTTTTGTACTATTTTTTATGCTTTGATTAAATAGGTTCACTGGAATTTTTATTCAACTCACAAGGATCCAAAGTATTTTCCAAACCCGGAAAAGTTTGAGCCTTCAAGATTTGAAGCCACAATGCAGCCTAATACATTTGTACCCTTTGGAAAAGGGCAACATATGTGTTATGGTAATGAGTATGCTCGAATTAAGATCCTTGTATTTTTGCACAACGTTGTAACTCGATTTAGATTGTCCAAAGCTAATCCTGATGAGAAATTAATCTATACCCCAGATCCAGTGTCTGCTGAAGGCCTCCGAATTCGCCTTCTACCTCATTAGAATGATTAGAATATAGAGAGCAGATATAATAACACCAGATCAAGTTATAGTGTATGTATGTTTTTTTAGATTGTGTCATGTTGAAGTAAAACCTTCTAATTGATATCAAGGGGCTCATTTGTGATATATAATACTGAAATAGCTAGCTACTTTACTAAAGCTACTTGTGAGAAAGGTCCTTTTAAATAGATGTTCTTGTTGTAGAGGTCTTTTAATAATAATAATAATAAAAAAAATAAAATAAAATAAAAAGGTGCCACTAAAAGTCTTTTTATCGCACTTAGGTTGTGGTGAGGGTCATTTAACCGGATTCCGACCATTGACTTTTTTTTATCTGGCTAAAAAAAAGTCTCGTGTGTTGCACGTGACCACTTAAAATCCTTTTCCCCTCTTTTCCCAATTCCCCCCCTTATACCTTGCTCAATTTGTCTTCAATTTTAATGTAAAGGACTAGAATCAGATTTTGATAACTTTTATTCTCAACATAGGTTTTGTGTGACTGTTGAGGTTGTTGATGATTAACTAGTAGAAAAAGGCTCATTTGCGTCGCCATATTTGCGTCACTCATTCTAAAGAACGAAGCAAATGTGTATTTTTACCATACTTTAAAGTTATTTGCGTCGCTTGTTATTAAAGAAGCGACGCAAAAAACAAGTGTACGTTAGCTTTCTATCATTTGCGTCGCTCTTATTTATTGAAGCGACGCAAATAATAAACTTATTTGCGTCACTCATTTACTGACAAGCGACGCAAATAAGGCAGTGAATAAATTGCGTCACTCTTTTAATAAATGAGCGACGCAAATAACAAATTTTCAGCATTTCAGTTTTTGTTATTTGCGTCGCATTTTTATTATAAAGTGACGCAAATAACTCTGTTGCACTTTAGGTTACCCATTCTGCGCTTTTTTGACCTTAGCTTTTCACTTTCACTAATTCACTAAACAGAGTTGCTTAATTTTGACCCTTCAATCCAACAAATTCGCCCAAAAAACACCCACAAATTCGCCCAAAAAACTGCAATTCCCCAGCAAATTCAACATCCAAAATCGCAATCAAGTTCAACACCCATAATCGGCAGCAAATCCGAGCAATTTCGAGCAAAAATTTAGACCAAAAACCCTAATTAATTCGAACCCTTAAACCCCAGAAAAATTGATTATTTTCGACCAAAAATCCCCCATTTCGAGCAAAAAATGTACTCAATTCCATACGAATTCGAACCCTAAAAACCCCAAAAATTCAATTAAAAATCCTGCTGAAAAATTGCGAGCAATAACTGATATTTTCGAGTGGAAAAATCGCTTAATTTCGCCCCCAAAAACCCGAGGAAGTTCAAGCAAATTACATTAATGTTGAATTTTTGAATTTTCCAGTGGAAAAATCGCTTAATTTCGCCCCTAAAAATCGATTTCGGCTCGACATTGTTGAATTTTAGAATCAATTTCACCTATGGTAAGATTGCTTCTATTTATGTTCAATCTTTTCATGGTAGATAGAATGTAGCATTTAACTTGAACAATGACTTAGTTTAATTTCAGGTTTAGTGTTAGTTCACTAATTAGAATTTATATGGCAGATTTAATTGAATTTTTATAATTTTCAGTCATTGAATTTTCATTTGAGCATATTGCATACTTGTGAATTTCAGTCATTGAATTTTTGAAGTCAATTTTCATCTGAGCATATTGCATAGTCATTGAATTTATATGGCTGTTTTGCAATATACTACTGGTTGCTTGTTTGCATCTTTGAACTTTAAGAATCTTGCTGTCAAATGTGGAACTTAGTTCATGTATCTGGCAATTATATAATTGCTGTTCAGGTGCTTGTCTCTTCTGCATTTACTTGTTGTGGTGTATGATTAATGTTTAAATGTTGGTGGTCTTACATATTTTACTGAATACAGATTTATTTTCTCCATGTAGGCATTTCTTGTCACTTATACAATTTAGTTGCTGATTTAGTGGCTTTATGTTATTTGATTTGTTGAAAATCTCTTCCTAGATCCATTATTTAGCCATTTCTTGTGTTATGGAAGGGCAGCAGCAGTTCAGTTATGTGTTTGGGGAATATTGAGATAGATGGGGTATTGTTAGTCATGATGCATATTTTGAGGAAGGTGTTTGGGTTAGGTGTACTTTTATATGTCATGATACATGACAAGAAATTGAACTCTGTTATTCATTTATTGGCTTTAAAGAGCAAAGAGATTATGCTTGCCGTGTTACTTCTCCCACTATTTTCTTACAGCTGTAGAATAGCATAGTCATTTGATCATATTGCATAGTCCCTAAAAACGGTTACCGGCATACCCAAGCCTAAATAGCATAGTGAATAACGCATGAATAAATTGTTAACTTTGCAATTTAAGCCAGTAGTAACTTTTAAAAACTAAAAAACCGAGAAGGCATTGCATGATAAGCCAGGCCTCTAGCTTATGTCCTAATAGAGAAGTGATATTGTAATTGGAATGCTAGGCTTAATCATCTGGGATCTTTTCAATATTATGTACGGTATAATTATGGAGCAAATATTGAACTTTTTCTCTTTGGGTCTTTGACCTTTAGAAGTAGGCTGATACTTGTGAAGGTATCACAGCCTCACAGGTTATGTACTCAGCCTTAGTTTTTCTCTCGCGTGTAGGAAATTGTCTTTTACTTTCTCTATGTAGTTTAGTTAAGTAAGGAGCTTATTATTACTTCATGTTATTGGCGTAGGAGTGCAATCAACTTGACATAGTTGTTCACCTGCAAAGCCTGCTTTTATGCGATCTGTTCTTCCACCCAGTGAAATACTATTGCACTGTTCAAAGCCTGGATACAATTTGCGGTAAAATTTTTTTGGGGCTTTTTTTTTTTTTTTTGAAATACCATGGTTTCTTTGAAGTTTCAAACTTCAAACTAAAGTAATTTAATAGATTGTGTTCTTTTACTATGCATAATTGTTAGTGCTCCATTTGTTCTGCAAATTTGTTTGCATTTAGTCTGTAGATTTTTACACTTGCTGTTTTGCAATATACTACTGGTTGACATCTATGATTCTTTGAATGTCTTATTAAAATTATTTTTTATCATTTAATTTTTTTGTAGGCATCATCATAATGAGCGATGGGAAGCACGAATTGGGCGCGTTATATGTACGAAATACTTGAACATCACCATAGCAGTGAAGATCTTATTCAGGTATGAGTTGTCAAATATTTCATTTTTGTTTGATAAATACAATTTGATGTTAGCTACAATCTTGAATTAAAACTTTCCTCTTGTATATTTGTTGTGTTGATAGGATTTTTCAAGAACTACACCGTACACCGAGGAGGAGATAAATGAGATCCGAGATATTTGGGCAGAGTATTTTATATGTAATGTTGAACTTTAGATTTACCACTTAGCGCATGTTTGACTCTTGTTTTGGATTATAGGCTTGAAATGAAGTAATTTGGTTAATTGGTGTTGGGATGATGAGTATAATGTCTATGATATTGAGATGTAAATTATTGGACAGGTTGTTAATATAATGCCGTCATTCCCAATTTTATGGGTAGGCCAAATTACAAAGGAGACTCTGCCGAAATTTACATTTGCATTATTCAATAATATTGCATTTTAATTTCAATTATATTAGTGTTAGCATATTACTTTATACCTAGGAAAACAGGTACTACAAACATATACAAGGCAATTATTATATTATAATTAAAAAAAAAAAATTCACCTCATTTGCGTCACTCATTAAACAAACAAGTGACGCAAATACAACTGTTTTGTATTGTCTACTCAGTCATTTGCGTCACTCCTATATAAACAAGTGACGCAAATAACAAAACATAAGTTTATTGGAAGAGTTATTTGCGTCGCTTGTTTATAAAGGAGCGACGCAAATAACAAAAAAGTTTATCTTAAGAGTCATTTGCGTCGCTTGTTAATAAAGGAGCGACGCAAATAACTAAAAATATTTATCAGAATAGTCATTTGCGTCGCTCTTTTATAAAGGAGTGACGCAAATAACAAAAAATAAGTTTATTTAAAGAGTTATTTGCGTCGCTCCTTTATAAAAGAGTGACGCAAATAACAAAACATAAGTTTATCAGAAAAGTTATTTGCGTCGCTTTTTTATAAAGGAGTGACGCAAATAACAAACGCTCCTTTATAAAAGAGTGACGCAAATAACAAAACATAAGTTTACTAGAAGAGTTATTTGCGTCGCTCCTTTATTAAAGAGTGACGCAAATAACAAAAAATAAGGTTATAAGAAGAGTCATTTGCGTCGCTTATTTATAAAGGAGCGACGCAAATGACAAAAAATAAGTTTATCAAAAAAGTCATTTGCGTCGCTCGTTTATAAAGGAGCGACGCAAATGACTTAAAAGTCATTTGCGTCGCGAGCAGTTGCGTCGCTCATAGAAGCGACGCAAATACATTGTACATGGTGAGGGTCATTTAACCGGATTCCGACCATTGACTTTTTTTTATCTGGCTAAAAAAAAGTCTCGTGTGTTGCACGTGACCACTTAAAATCCTTTTCCCCTCTTTTCCCAATTTCCCCCCTTATACCTTGCTCAATTTGTCTTCAATTGCCTTCAATTTTAATGTAAAGGACTAGAATCAGATTTTGATAACTTTTATTCTCAAAATAGGTTTTGTGTGACTGTTGAGGTTGTTGATGATTAAGAAATTAGGGTTTAATAAAGGGAAAAGATGGGGAAAATGGGAAAAAATAGATTTTTATGCAAGGCACATGACTTTTGTTGGTTGGAAAAAAATATCAATTCTCAGAATTTAGTCAAAGGGCCCTCGCCACAACCTAAGTGTGATAATAGAACCTTTTGTGCCACATATTTGTTTTTATATGAAAGGACCTTTATAATAAAAGGAAAATGTTACACACAGCCCTTAGGGCTACATATAAGCATTAAATTTACACTTGAAAATCGTAAAAAGTTAAGAAATCATCAAAATATAAACACTAAGGGCCTGTTCCAATTGACTGAACTCAGCTGAATTGAACTGAACTGAACTGAACTGAACTTATTAATTAGTGATTTTTAACTACGGATTAGTGATTTTTGATTTTTTATTGATTATTTATTACTATACATATGTGTATATACAAATGTACATTTTATTATTAATATTAATATTATTATTATTATTATTATTAATTATTGATGATGATTATTATTATTTATTGATTATTATTATTATTATTATTATTATTATTGTTATTATTATTATTGTTATTATTATTATTATTTATTGATGATTATTATTATTATTTATTTATTATTATTATTTCAATTATTATTGTTATTATTATTATTATTTATTGATTATTATTATTATTATTTATTACTTATTGATTATTATTATTATTATTATTATTATTATTATTATTTTATTA